AACAACAAAAAAAACCAATGTCCCCAACCTCACAGGGTTTACAATCTAATGGAAGGAGAATAACCCAGATTTTGAGCACTATACTGTACTGCTAGAGTCATTCTTTAGTAATATAAGGACAGCTAACACAAACAAGCACTTGCTATGTTTAGCATTTAGTTATTGTTCTAAGTTCTTTACCCAGGATAACTTACAATGCCACAGTAACTCAGTGAGGTAGGTACCATTGTTATCCCCCAAATGCAAGGTGAGAAAACTGAGCCAAAGAAATGTTCAGGGACTTCCCCAAAGTCCCAGCTACTGAATGTCAGAGCTGAGAGCCACAGCCAGACAGTCTGAGTCCTAGTTCTTAACCTAGTTCAAGTAGTATCATCTTTGCAAAAAGGAATCCTTTGAGCATGGGCGCAAGTCACATCTGGAGGCAGTTCTGAGGTATGCTTTGCAATTTACTCCTATTACCCCAAAACATCAGTATCATCAATAATGAGACTATGGGAAACAATTTTTTTTTTTTTTACATTTTCCTATGTCCACTGTCAGTGGTTATGCTGATGGTACACAAAGTAAAACTAAGAGAGATTTTGCCAGTCTTGCAAATCTGACACCTATTTAAAAAGGATTCTTTGCCCATCTCTGAGCCTCATTTCTGCTCTGATTTTGAAGAAGTCTATTTTCTCCTCTGGGTGCTGTGTCTTAGAAATGTGTACTGCTCTTCTTCCCATCAGAATCCCACCCCCAGGCACAAGCTCTGTGGTGGCAAATACCCTGCAGCTGCCCATAAACAATAAGTCACACAAAGGGTAACTGAGGGTTTCAAATTTCCTGTTTACAACCTCCATCCAATGGGGACCTCTCTGGGAGAAATGTAAGACTGGCAACAGATTAACAAGGGTTTGGTTATTTTACAAGGGAGAACAATGGTTCCTCTGACCACCACTTTTGATTCATTCCATCTCTGGTTTCCATGGAGCATCATAAGAGGATCTATGTGTGTGTCCAGAGTGGAGGGAGAGAAGCAGCCCCAGGCACACCAAGGAGGAAGCAGCCCGGGATGAGCCTCCCTCCCAAAGAGAGCACTGTGTCAACACTTGGGATCCAGTTCCTGTGTGGGTGGTTTGCTCTCTTGGGGAACACCATGATAACACAGTCTCTACTGGGGCAGTCTCATTCTTCCCCTCTCGGGAGGGTGATCTCTGCCTGTGAGTTGTGTTCTGTTTTCAAGATTATTCTTATCTCAATCTTTGATTGTGGCTCATTGAAAAATCTGACCTGCCAGCTGCCAGGAAATCAGACCTGCCAGCTGAACTGCCTCTCTGTCGGTAACCAGTGAAGAATTTTCTGGAACTGCTCTGGAAGTTAGGGGGACAAGGGTTGAGTATCCCTTATCTAAAATGTTTAGGAGCAGAAATAATGTGGATTTCAGATTTTGGAGTGTTTTCATGAGACTCAAGTCTCAACACGTAAGTCATCTAGGTTTCATATTCACCTTATGCACACAGCTTGAAGGTAATTTTTATACAACATTTTGGATAAAGCCAAGTTTGTGCACATTAACTGTCAGAATTGTGTCATCTTGTTGAACCCCAAAAGTTTTGGGTTTTGGATCATTTGGGGATTTCAGATTTTCAGAGTAGTAGGAATATACTATGCAAGACATCTGTCGTTTTGGGGTGTCTAGAATCAAATCCCTCTTTCTTTGCCTCTTGCACCATAGGTCCCCTTCCTCAGCTATTTGATTCCCCCGTTATTACACGCCTGGCTCAGAGGTGGAGCCTGTGAGTTAGTCCAAAGCCAATCAGGGCCTTGCGTTTCCTTGGCTTCCTGTGATTGGTTCATTGGTATTGTGCCACCGTTAGAGCCAATCAGAAGAGCAGTGAGGCTTTTGCTGGGAATTCTGGCAAGGAGACTCGCTCTGTCCTGGCTGGACTCAAGAGGTGGGAGGTTGGAGCCACCGTGGCCCTCTTGCTGCCTGCAGAGAGCACCGGTCAGTGGACGCAGGCAAGCCAGGAAGAGGACGGCGGGGACCCTGGATCTTGGGCACAAGACACTCTGAATCAGTGTCTGCAGCAAGCCCTGCTTCCAGACC